ATCGGTGCTGTTGAACGGCTGCTCCAGCAAGTTAATCCCGCGAAGGCAACAGGCAGCGATGGCGTACCAGGGGCAGTCCTCAAACTCTGCTCTGACGCCTTGGCGCCGTCTGTCACTAGCCTGTTCAATGCCTCGCTGTCGTGCGGACATGTGCCCTCGGCGTTCAAGCTAGCTAATGTCATCCCACTGCATAAATCTGGTGATCCATCGCTGCCAACTAACTTCCGCCCTGTATCCCTTCTACCCATACTCTCCAAGCTGCTAGAGAAGTTGGTTCAGAAGGAGCTCATCACCTTCCTGGACATAACAGCATCGTTACCAACAACCCAGTTTGCGTTCAGGCGTGGCCACTCTACCGAAGACGCATTAGTCCTTATGTCAAACCGCATCCTAACAGCCAAGGACCAGGGCCTATTCACAGGTGTATGCCTGTTAGACATGTCCAAAGCCTTCGATAAAGTCCAACATGACAAGCTATTGCAGGATCTCCACAGTGTTGGGGTGTCCGGTACTGCCTTGGACTGGTTCGCCAGCTACCTATCCGGTCGCACTCAACGTGTCTGTCTGGGGTCGCGGACTAGCTCTATATCAGCTTGCACGAGTGGTGTCCCCCAAGGTTCGGTGCTGGGCCCCATTCTGTTCAGCCTTTACACCCGCGAGGTCCCCGCTGTAGTTGGCCAGACCGTGTCAGTTCAATTCGCGGACGACATTGCGCTCACGTGCAGCCGGCGAACAGCACAGGAGGTATCCGATGTCTTATCTGCTTATCAATCCTTGCAGACTGGCTGAAGGATCGAGGCCTGATCCTCAATGCTGGCAAGAGCCAAGTCGTGCCAATTCCTGCCGCCGTCAGCACACAGAGGATCTACAGGTCGTCTGCCATGACACTTCACTGCCTAGTGTGCCAAGTGTTCGTTATCTTGGCGCCACAATCGATTCCGGCATGTCCTGGCACGCCCACATTGCCAAATGTTCTGCACGCGTGTCGCAGAAGATCGGAGCACTCTGGCGAATGCGCCGCTGCCTGAATCACCAGTCACGCATGACCTACTTTAGATCGCTGATCATGTCTGACCTGCTGTATGCCTCAAACGCGTACTCTAGCTCACTGCAAAGAAGGTACCTCGACCGTCTACAGGCCCTGCAGAACAGCGGAGCTCGTGCTGTCTTTGGCCGCCCTCCGTGGTCGTCTGCCCGCGACCTGCTGGAGCGCATTGCAGTGTTCCGTGTGGCAGAAGTCTTCAATCAGAAGCTAGCATACCTGGTGTGGCGCTGTCGTTATGCACTGGCAAGTCCAGAGTTGCAAGCCCTGCCCTACTCGGCTCCAATCTGCCATGGGCCTGTGCGTGCCAGTTTCCCGTTCGGTTGCGGGGCGGGGGCGCTTTGCTTGCAAGGGTGCTGTATTATGGAATGCCCTCCCCAGCGACATCCGTGCCATCCATCACGCTCGGCAGTTTCGCACGCAGGTAATCCCCTATACCTGCGCCCTGTAGATGTCGACAAGCGAAATCTGATTTTTTCTGTTCTCTTTCTGTTGTACCCGATCTCCCTCTGATGTACCGCTGACTCTACGTTGAAGATCAAAGTATTTGAATTCTCATTCTCATTATGATTTTCATATTCGCTTTCAAGTTATTGGGTTCTATGCCCGTTTGAACTTGCGAATCAAAATAAATACAAACAAACAAACAAACAAACAGTGCGGCAAGTCGAGCGTGCATCTTTTATTCAGGCAGTAATTTTTGCAAGTGGAGGAATATCCATATGACCATGGGCAAGACAGAAACAATTCACTGCTAGTACAGGCGAGAGGTTTCCCGGTTGGCAGCCAAGAAAGTTGATCAGTACTTTCACGTTGTGGCCTTCATCAGCAGACAGGTGCCACCGTGGAAGACACCATTCTCCCTTTTGTGTTCCTGAATCGTGTGCCTGCGTGGATGCATAGCCTGCAGACGGCTCTTTACTTTAGTTCAGTCAGTCATCTTCCTGGGCAGCGGGTGATGCCTCAGCAGGGTTCGAGCCAGGTCAAAATAGTAGAGAGGAGGTGGTGTAGGGAAACAGTTACCCTGCAACCCATTTTCTCCATTTTCCAAACTTGTCTTGCCATGCCAAAATACAACGCACGGGGGCGAATCCCCCACCGTTTTTTAAGTGAAACCTCGACAAGTATCATGACTCACATGAGTATGGCTTTATGAACTAAAACTCCTTGAAGTTCGCGACTATCCACTGCATTTTCACTGAATGGTATGACAAAAACAAAAATCGACCAAATTTGCAAAGCAAGTAGGGCTATCACTTTTTCACACGAGGACGCTAGGGGTAGGGAGGCGCCCCCCCCCCCCCCCCCCCCCCACACCACCACCTTCTTTTGGCTAGAAGTTAGAACCCTGCCACCAGGATCTGCTGCATTAGAAGTGGCAGAGGCCAGGGTAACAGCTTTACTTCCCAACTGGCCATTTCGTTTTGACTGGATAACTAACTTGCAGAGGAGGAAGACGAGGCAGCAGGTGCTAGGTCCGTAAATTACTGCCTGGAAGATATTATTTGGCCATAGCTTGCTGTTGGCGTTTTTTGATTTCTTGGATACGACAGCTCTTGGCTAAAACTGGTCCTTGGACGGCCTTTCTCGGACATCAACCCAGGACGTGCCCCATTGGGCGTGGTGGTCATGGACGTATCGCCGTCGCTTTCAGCCAGACCCTTCTGCTGCCTGAAACCAATGGCGAAAGTAAAAAACTTCATCGCAGCAGCAGCAGCTACTGCTCTCCTGAAAGTGCGAACACAATTTCTTCGCTAATCCTTCGCAAATAATTGCTTCGCTAATCCTCTTGTGCACTTGCAATTTTCAACGCGACCAAAATGATTCCTTTGCCAGTTCATTTGTCCAGGCGTACTCCACAACCAGGAAAGTAGAATTCGTGAAGGCAAGAGGCAAGATATGAATCTCGACTCGCTTGAGGCAAGCCGCCAGGAGAACGACAACTTCTGTGACGAAAGGCCTTCGTTGCGTTTGTTTTGAGTACGACATGTTCATCTTCCTTGGACGCGACACAACAATCATTTTGACTTTTGAGTCACGTATCACGATTACTTTTTTTTTTTTTTTTTTTTTTTTTTTTTTTTTTTTTTTTTTTTACAATGATCACAGCTCACAGGCAAAGACAAAAAATTGCATAGTGGGAGCATAGTGATGGTGAGGCGTTTTGCCCTCAGCCGACCTGAGGTCTCAACGTCATGGGGACATAAAACGCACCAAAAAAAGAAGAAAAATGAAAGGAGTGACAGGTACATGATACGAAATGTTGGGAGGAGAGACAGTACATTAGAAGGAGGGGAATGATAAGACAGACAGTGCTAGGAGGAGAAGGAGAGAAAAGAAGAACAGACGTTATTGGGAATAGTATGTGGAGCGGAATTTGGAAGTCATGGGGTGAGGCAGATATGATGCTGATGATCAGAGATGGTCATGTGCCCACGACCAGTCGTTGGTCTTCAAATAGCGGTTGGCTGCAACTTTGAAGTGTTGCAAGTTCTTGGTGCAGAAAGGACCAGAGAAGACTCCGGCGGGCAGCTGGTTCCAGACGGGGACAACTGCGTGAGGGTAGGCTCGACACAGGTTGTTGCGGGAACGGACTGGAAGTTCATTGGCCAGTTGGTGTGCGTGAGCATTACATCTCTGGAATGTACTACGGGTGGAGTGGACTGTTCGGTGTTGGGGCTGCTGGGGTGGCAGCATCCTCTGTAGAAGGGGATGCGCATCCGGACAATGCATCTTGTACAGGAGGCAAAGTGCTGCAACCATCCGACGAAGAGCAAGACTTGGCAGCCAACACATTGGGGCGATGGCACGGATGGCCCGGGCTTGCACACGGTCGAGTCTTGCAAGATGGGATGGGGCCGCTCCCATCCAGACAATAGGGCAGTACTCCATCACTGGGCGCACAAACGCATTGTAGGCTTGGATGCGACCGGGAACGTCTAGGAGGTGGAAAGCCTTACGCAAAGCACCAAGTGGCTGTGTTGCCCGGAGGGCTACGGTACGAAGGTGGCGCCGGAAGGTAAGCTGACCATCGAAACTGATGCCCAAGATTTTGAGCTCCTCCTGTTCCGTCACATTTGATCCGTTGAAGTCAATCGGTGGCATGTCCCATTGGGTGCGGTGGAAACTGACGGTCAGTGCCTGGGATTTGGCTGGTTCAAATTTTATTTTCCATTCTTGACCCCAGCGGGAGATGTTGTTGACTGCTAGCTGGAGGGCTTGGGTGGTATCTTCTTGGGTGGTGGGGGTGATGTTGGCATACAGCGTAGTGTCGTCTGCGAACGAGGCTAGGTCAGCACCGGCTGGTACGTGGTCCTCGCAGTCGTTCACGTACATGAGGAAGAGAGTCGGACCCAGAATACTGCCCTGGGGGACTCCAGCCTGGGAGCCTTGAGGATGTCTGGCCACAAATGACCACTTGAAGGTAGCGTTCACTGAGGTAGCTGCTGAGCCACTGGTGCAGTTGCCCACGCAGGCCGTATACAATGTACGTCGGACTTGTGTAGCACACCGGGGTGTGATACGCGATCAAACGCACCGGCGATGTCAATGGCGAGTATGCGTGCTGCGCCTTTATCCCCGGCTGTATGCAGCCACTGGTGGTGGAGGATGGTAAGGAGGTCGCTATGGGAACAGCATAGATGCATGCTGGGTTCCGGCGCTTCCGGGATGTCCCCTCCGCTACTCCAGAGGACTGTACTGGTGGTACATCATGGTACATTATGGTCGACGGCTGCCAGCTGTAGTTGAGTGCGTGAGCCGTGCACACACGCGTGTATGGGCACTTGACAAACTCTACAAAAAGAATAAGATGTGCCATGCGCACACATGTCACATCATGAGCTAGCTGGCAAGTACAGTACAGTGGCGATCGTGAGCTGGCTTGCATGCCTGACAGTGCCAACACTGACATGACCATGATGACTGACCAAGTCTTTGGCCCTTTCTGATCTGACTCAGAAAAATAACAATATTTTCCAGACATTTGAAATAGCTGCAAGTGCTTGTTGGTCGTAGATCTACCGATCGTGTTCCATCCAGCTAGTGTTGTCGGTTCGCAATGGTTCATAGATCACGCGGGCAGTGTTGAGAAAGGTCTCTTGTTGAACTAACTTCTTTACTTCATTCACACTGTGAGTGTGATCACGCGCTCTGCGATATTTTACCTACGCACCCATTCAAAATCGTTGCAACAATACGTCACTTTGCCCAAGTCAATGGAGAACAAAGAAGCACTTGTGCCTGACGACGAGCGGATCAAGAAACGTGAGATCGAGGAGCTTTTCAAGAAATTGGATGTGAACAATGACGGAGTACTAGATGCAGATGAGCTGAAGCAAGGACTGCAAAAATTGGGACATAAAACTAACACAAAAGAGGTGGAGGTAAGAACGACACGTAACTTTCTTCATTTTGCAAACGTTTCTGTCAGAACCAGTCTGTGCTTATACTGTACTCGTTTGTGACCAGGTTTTGTCTATCACTGTGAACAACGATGCTTTAGAACTCAGCTGGAAAATTTTCTGGGCACCGACAATAAACTAAGTTGCTTTAGCTACGCTCCAAATGTTTTCTGCTCGGGAGAAAGGCACAGAGAAGGAAAGCTTACTTTTTGTTGTTATTGTATCACGATGTGACATTTATGGGTGTTTGTCGATGAAGCCTCCTGGTTGCACGGTTGTTTTCCCTGCGCGGAGGCTGCATATCTAGTACCTGGCATAGGGCAGTGCATACCTATCCTTGGATGACTGCTGCTGACACTGACATGATGACATGCGTGTCTACATAAGTCATTTACATAAACTCACCACATCTGTCTGCACTCCATGCTGATATTTCACGTGCTCTAGATTCCAGTCTGTAGAGAGTGTGGTGTAGTCAAGGAGTTACTATCCATACCAGCTAGGCTACACTGAGTAGATACCATTGCCAGACCAGGGCTCTGCAAACAGTACATTGCTCTAGATTATACCAGGGAATCGTGGCATCTAGGGAGAGGACACGGGCGAGTGGCATGCGAATAGGTTCCGCTCTCGGACTCCCCCTTCCGGTTCCCCCTTGTGCGCACTCGCGTGTGACATCGCTGGTCTTGGATGAGTTTGGGATCAGCATATCACGATCGCGTGTTGCAGTGACCGCCAATCGCATGGAATTAACAAGTCATGTTGTGGAAGCGTCTGGCGTTGACTTGATGCGCAGATCTCCGTATTAAATATTTGCTTTTCGCCTCGGTATCATTTAGCGGTATGATGCGCTCAGCAATCGTTTGTTGTTTGCTGCGTTTTGTTTGTTCTTTTGTGTTCTCTGTGTATGTAGCGCTTGCTGGGTCGAGTAGACTCTGATGGAAATCAGCAGGTAGACATCCGTGAGTTCATCAAATACGTCGGCGACCACGAGAAAAAGCTTTGGTTGACCTTCAAAGATGTGGACAAAAATGATGATGGTGAGTTGGCCGTTGCCGGCGTTGGAATACTTTCGGATTGATTTTTACCCAAGTATGCCCCCAAGCATCGTGTGGTTGTGTGTGTGTGTGTGTGTGTGTGTGTGTGTGTGTGTGTGTGTGTGTGTGTGTGTGTGCGCGTGTGTGTGTGCGTATGTGTGTGCGTATGTGTGTGCGTGTGTGTGTGAGAGAGAGAGAGAGTGAGTGAGATGTTTCTCCTCCTCCGGAACGTTCCCCAGGTATCGTAGTGTTATCAAAACCTGCAGAAGTTTTCTCAAATGCGACGTGATTTTTACCCAGCTATTCTCCAATCCCTATCCCACTGCGAACAGCTTTGTCACATCTTGTATAGCCATCTCCTCTCGCCATCACCGTCAGTTCATGCCTGGCCCTTAGCCGATGTGTGGTGATATCTTGCTTAGCAGGCTGGTGCACTAGTTTGCGTATGGCGCATGGTCGGTGACACACACACATACACACAATGGCTTCCTGGGTTGTAACTCGAGTTTCGCCTCGCCCATATCCCCGCCCATCGACTCGGTGCCACTTGCAAACTAATGGTGACAACGAGAGCAGGAGACGGATTTGAAAGATGGGACAGAACTGTTTGCAGGGGGATAAGTCGTGTGATTTTTAACATGTTTCGACAGCCGTTTGACAAACTAACTTCTATCGAGAGATGCACGTGGAGACTTCAAACCGTTATTCTGTTCTCCGCGCATTATGATTTTTTTTACCCAAGGCTTCTCGCAGCAGCGTGATTTTGTTGCAGCGTTCTCCAAGCATCCTGATCTTTGCAGACTCTGGGAAAGGGATTAGCAAGTGTGAATTGCTTTCTGGCATGTGACCTAAACTTGTGTGTGGCCTGCAAAGTTTCTTTCATATAGAACCTGGTGCTATTGCTATCTTCCCCTATGCCTGTCGCACTCTGTACGATGATTTGTCTCTAAAGGAGAAGTGCTAGAATTGTAGTGGGGGTGTGCAGTGTGACTTGTTGGCTGTGCTCTTTTGGCCAGCTTGTGTGTTTGTGTGCATGCACGTGTGCACGCGCGCGAGTGTTTGTGTATGTTTGTGTATGTTTGCATGTGTGTCTGTGTCTGGGTCCGTGGGTGTGCGTGTCTGTGTCTGTGTGTATGTCTATCTGTGTGTGTGTGCGTACTCGCGTGTCCGTAGGTTTGATTGACGAGGATGAGCTGAAGCGACTATTTTCTAGCTTAGGCTTGAAACTATCACACCAGGAGGCAAAGCGCTTAATGTCATCGTAAGTTCAGAAGTGTGCAGCTGACTCTAGTGACACACTGTGGGGAAAAAAGGTTGTGGGTCAAGCGGGGGCAGATTTATATCCGTGTGTTGAAGTGGAGTTTCCTTGCCAGCCTGATGATAATTTTGCTCAGAGTAGCAATGGCCGCTGGCATATGTGGGCAATGAGTGATTCAGTAGCTGGAGCAGAGGGCAAGTTCCTCACAGTATGCGTCATGATATTATGCACTGTGATTACACTACCCTAGTTACATCTTTGAGAAACAGCTCCACAGTAAATGTCCATGGCAAGATTTCAACCAGTTTCCAGACTTGAAAGAAAAGGAATACATGTACGCGGAGGGGATTTAGATAATGTAACAGCGTAGTAGTTATGGAAGAACGATTTTTCAGGGATTTCAGCATCTGTTAGCTGTAATTGAGTTGCAGTGTGATTGAACTCATGGCTAGTTACTTTGTCAAGTATGTACTTGTATACACCTACTGTAAATATACAAATTTTCGGCAGCTATTTAATTTCGGCTATATTCGGCACCGACCCAAAACGCCTAAATTAAAACGCCGATGAAATTTTTCACAGCATTAATTTTGTCGCAATACCATGCCCTCTACCCCACGCCGAAAATAAATCGCCGCCGAAATGTCAAAAATCGTGAAGTGCCGAAATTTTGCAGCGCCGAAATTTTGTATATTTACAGTATGTATTATATTCTGGTTGTCCTTGCATGCAGTCTATTTTGTTTCAAGAACGCAACATGTCTTGTTTATGGACCACCGGCCATCTGTAGTGCATCAATCCCCCATCTCTCTCTCTCCCTCTATCTCTGTCTTGCATTCCTTTCTCTGTTTGTTTCTCCTCCCTGCGTGTGAGAGTGTTCACGCTGTGGATTGCTTTCGAATGATGTTTCCCGTTTTTTTCCTGATTTGCTGGCATAGTATGGATACAGACGGCAAGATAGAAATTAACTTTTCCGAGTGGCGGGAATTTCTCTTGCTGAACCCTGACGAGAATATCCGTGCAATTGTCAACTGGTGGAGACACTCCCTGGTAAGCCTTGACACAATCAACCCACCACATCTCTGCGTGCGTGTGTGTGTGTGTTTGTGTATGGCTGTGTGCGTGCGTGTGTATGTTTGTGTGTGTGGCTGTGTGTGTGTGTGTTTGTGCAATTTGTTCCTCCTCCTGAGACAGCAAAGACTTGTATATGCGGGCGGACCAGTCACGTGACATCAAGCGTCACACCCCCTCTTTCTCATCGCATTAGCGATGGTCCAAGGCCCAAGGTCCAAGGTGTGTGGGTGTATGTGTGTGTGTGCGTGTGCACGCGCGCACGCACACATGCATGCATGCATGCGTGTGGCTGTAGGTGGGTAGGTGTGCATGTGAGCGGGTGTATGGCTGTGGTCAGGTGGGTGTTGTAGTGTGCCGTATACTAGTATGTTAGTGACGTGTTTGTTGAGCAAGTACTCTTGTACAGATAATGAGATATCTAGTGCTCCGTCCGGTTTTGTTCCCAGCCTTGAGTGCTCCCCGGAGGCGCATTAGGTCAGTATAGATGGACCACTCTAGGATGGTCGGACAACCCATGCCACTGTTTAACCTCTATGTTCAGATTCCGCATCGCCGGAGTAGACGGTCGAAGCTGTGCTGAAGTGTGTGCCAGCTGTAGTGTTGTCGTGACTCTGGGCTTGCTGTGACGTAGCACTTTCAACTTTTCAAGTCTTATAGAGTGCCTTGGCCGTAAAGCTCGGAAATTTGCAACTGTGCGGCCTTTGGAGGGACGTTATACTGACGTTTCATGTGCAATTAATCGGGTTGTCTGGGGATCGTCTCGTGCGTGAACCTCTGAGTTGCTACGAGATCTTAATCCTCTTCTTGTTATAATTAGTTATCTGTGGACTGGATGATTAGCAGTGCAGGTGCGACTAAGTCTTGTTGCTTCTTCAACTCTTGTGAATGTGTGTGTACAGGGCATTGACATCGGTGACAATGTCATTGTACCGGATGACTTCTCCGACGAGGAGAAAGTCACCGGCATGTGGTGGAGGCAGCTAGTGGCTGGCGCCGCAGCTGGTGCAGGTGCGTACCTAGCTTAGCTCACGGACGTAGCTCGCATGCGTCTGTGGTGTGATGACTATGCGCCAGAGTACATCTGTGATGTGGTGACTACCGTATTTCCGCAAATAAAAGACCGTCCTCGTATACAACGCCTTCCTCGAATACAAGGCCGGGGCAGGGGGCGATTGAAAAAATACAAGACCGTCTCCGATTAGAAGACCGGGCTTAAATGAGTCTTACGACTGTGTGCTCAAAATTGTGGTAAAAATAGAAGACCGTGCTCAAACTGTGGGAAAAAATAGAAGACCGCGCTCAAACTGTGTAGAAGAAAATGGAAGAACGGGGGTAAAACTGTGTGGCGAAAAATAGAAGACCGGGGTCAAACTGGGTTGAAAGAATAAAAGACCATCCTCGAATACAAGACCGTCCTCAATTATAAGGCCGGGTTAGGACGAGTTTGAAAAAAATAGTAGACCGGCCTACTATTTGCGGAAATACGGTATATACCACTGGCAACCACATAATTATAACTAAACTATCGTAATCCGACATCATCATTATTCATTTTCTCATATCTTTCTCATACATATTCATATCGCAGATTTTTCGTTTTTGGTAGGAATCGGAGAATCCTCTCTCCGGTGAGAAGGCAGTATTGCCTGTGCCCTGAGCGCATTGAAATAAAAATACAACAACAACAACAACGCTGCAATTTTGCCCATTTAGACTATGTAGTAGTACGTATGACGGGCATTTTCTGGTGCGGTGACCGGACTACGCACGCTGACTGCACACGAGCTATGCGCCTGTAGCATCATGGTTGATGCTCATTGATGCTACGTCTCTAGAGAACTCTCACATCGCAGTATATGTGAGCGCTCTGCACGGCATGGATACCTGAAATCATCTAATTGGATGCTCCATCAACTTGGTGCTGCAAAAATCTACAGTGAACCCCGACATTTTCGTGGCGATGCAAGTTTGCGAGTCCAGATGGCATGCGTGTTAGCGACATTAAAATGTTAGCGGACGTGATAATCATAAGGGTGAAGGGAAATCATGTGCTGTCACCGTATTCAAACAAGGATTTATGTTCCCCATGGTGATACCGTGAAACTCGCAAAGTTGTTCGCTTTGCAATAATCCTGAAACTTGGCTGACGTCTAATTTGTTTCTAGCGAAAAAAAAGTATATGGAGCAAGGACGTAAGGGCAAGCCTAGTGGCTTCGAGAGGTACAAGAAGACCTTGTCATTGTGGATGAAACTGCATGCATACTGGTATGGTGTTGAAATACACCATGAAAGTCTGTACTCACCACTGATGTAATGTCTTGTGTATGTCTGTCTGCTTGGTGTTGTTAGTATCCCGAACCTGCACAGCTCCGCTGGATCGGCTCAAGATTCTTCTGCAGGTGAGAGTCAACCTACCTGAAAGTCTGCATTGTGGGTGTGTTGGTGTGCGTGTGGTAGAGTGAGAAGTAAAGGTCAGGAAGGATCTAGGCCACGTCAGTACTCCGCTGCTCGAACACAAGAGGAAAATATAGCTGAGCAGCGCTGGAGATGTGGAACACGACTGGTGTAGGCTGGTGCGGGCCATTGCTGACACACATACACGCACGTGCGCGCGCACACACACACACACCTGGTCCTGGTCCTGGTAAACACTGCCATTACGGTCACGTGTCCCCTTGCGGGGCCGACAACATGGAAGCGACGGCAGAAAGTCGGCAGTCTGCCAAGAGATCAGGGACCATGTTCAGTCGGCACGACGAGAGAGCCATCTTTGGCAGCTATGGATTTGGAATCCACGAGTAGAGCGGCAGCACCGACCACAGGCCCCACAGTGGGCCTTGCAGCATGAGAGGGCGAGCCGCACACGCGGCGGCGGAGGAGTCGCCTGAGCAGCAATGGTAGACACCGCCACCCGGCACGGAGCCCCGAGACGATGTTGCGGGTAGCATCCGGGAGTTGGGGCACTTGTGGACCGCCAAACCTCCGGCACTGCGGAACCAGCGCTCACAGGAAGAACATTGTCGGCTACCTCTCTGTTCTGATACAGGTTTTGCGGCGCTCATCGAGGCATTTATGACGAGGCAAACCACTCCTGAAGAAGAGACGGCCACACTCGGCACAAGGTATCCGCAGGGGCTCACGAACGGGTTCGGACGGGGGCAGAACATTGTAAGCGGCCCGCCATTCTCGTCTATCCTGGGCCAAGTCATACCATTCGTCGATGCCCAACGCTGCCAGATCCTTCCGCGCAGCATCGCGCCACCTTTTCCTGCACACACACACACACACACACACACACACACACAACATACACCATACACACACACGTACAAGCAGCGTCTTGCTTTCCGACGTTGCTGTTTTTGTACTTGCTGCTCTGTCAAATCTTCTCTGTGTATTTTATTGTTCTTTCAGGTGGAAGGTGCACGCCAAAACCTCAACATTGTGACTGGCTTCAAGAAAATGCTGAAGGAGGGTGGCGCACGGTCCTTATGGCGAGGCAATGGTGTCAATGTTATCAAGATTGCGCCGGAGTCCGCCATCAAATTCTTTGCGTATGAATATGTAAGATTTACTAGTTGAGCCTCGGCGTGAGGTTCTATGGTGTGATCACTTGGATTGCTTTTATGCTGATGAACCTCCCCTGGCTTGTCTGGTTGTTCGTGCTGGTGTTGTCTGTGCCTGTGTAGCTTGATTGATGTGATTGGCCTTTCATCTCAAACGCCTCGCAATGCCTCCGAACAATCACTGGCTACAGAGGACAGCGCATGTGATGTGTGGCTTCTCATGCAGTGTCCTTTGGAACGATGGGCACTTTTCCCCACTCCAGAACGGGCTTTATAGATACCACTCAGGTTGTCCAGTTGTCTCTAGCACAGAGACTAAACTGAGTAAAGAGTACATCCCATGAGCAAGACACTTTTCCCGTGAACTGTGCAGCACCTTCTGGCACTGGAAGCATTACAGGCAGCCCCATAATTGGTTACTAGATCTTAGTTACTAACTGGTGCTGTTCGCTTTGTTCACATGCCTGCCCCTGCTACTGTCCAACAGATAAAGAAGTGGTTTGCAGACGACCAGGGTGCGTTGTCGGTGGGACGCCGTCTTCTCGCTGGATCGTCGGCTGGTGTTATTGCACAAGTCAGCATCTACCCAATGGAGGTTAGTGGAATGAGCGGTGATTTTTCCTGGAAGTGCTTGCTGATTGATGTATTTTGTATGTTGCACTTGATGTCATAATGCACTAGCACTTTTGTATATCAGTTTAGAAAGTTGAACATTTCTTCGGCGACCATGCATCTTTCACTCGGTGAAGGTCAATGGCATGACAAATGGCTTTGCTGCTGTGTGTGTGCTTACTAAATGTTAGTGCTATCAAATGGAAGTGTCCCATATTGTACGTCCATGTGCGCATGCTTGCATTGCTGCATTCCTCGGTCCAGTCCTTTTTGTGTTTTCAGCTGGAATCCATTTGACTAGGTATCTATGTCATGTCTTGCACATCTAAGCCAAGCCTTTGCTGGCATGTCATAACCAGGTCCTCGTCTACTTCTTTCCCGGGGATATTACCCCCACCCCGCCACCTGCAGGAAAAATAGTTAGATTTTACTGAAATGCATGTTTCGGTATGAAGGTCACAGTGGATTTTTGGCAGATTTTCAGAACTGTAGAAGTGCGCCTTATGCCCTGGAAAATATGGTGCTCGTCTGCTTTTTTGCTGTATTCACTGACAATGCGTGGCTGTATCTGTGTGTGTGCGTGTGTGTGTGCGTGTGTGCACACGTGTGTATGTGTGTGTATGTATGCACGTCGTGTCTGCATTTGCGTGCAAAGGTGCTGAAAACTCGGCTAGCACTGGCGACAACTGGCCAGTACAGCAGCCTGGCGGATGCGGCGGTGAAGATTGCTCGCCAGGAAGGAGCAGTGGGCCTGTACCGTGGCATCACTCCCAGTTTACTCGGTATCATACCCTATGCTGGCATTGACCTTACAGTGTATGAGGTGAGAAGAAGCCACGAGTACTTGATCAACGCTTTGCCTATACCTTGTGCCAACTTTCCATGAGCTATGTGTAGCTAATAGGTTCATGTTGCAAGGTTCCCCGTGTTTTTGCCCGAAGTTATGCGTCAACAGGAGGCAAGGGGATGGATGTACAGTTGCGATCACTGGAATCCGAACTAAAGTTGCAAAAACTGGCCCCCTGGACCAGTTCCGATTACATCACTGCACTGGTCCATGTGTACGTCCAGCCGCATTCGTACCACTTCCAGGGCGTCAAGGGCCGTGCAAGTTCAGGGCGCCAAATAGCACTTTGGGTTGAATTTCACCGAGGACAACTGTACATGCATCAACACAACTGGGTTCCAAGGAAATCATTTAACTTTGTGTTCTACTGTTTTGCGTCTCCTTGTACCACTGCTTTTTTTTACTGTGTAGCTTCTAAAGCAGAGGTGGTTGACATCGCATGACAGCCAAAACAAGCCAGGAACGGTGGTTTTGCTTGGATGCGGTGCTGTATCCAGTACATGTGGACAGCTGGCTAGCTACCCCCTGGCTCTAGTGCGCACTCGCCTGCAAGCCGTCGGTTAGTGCTAGGTGCTTGGCTGTGCGTGTGTGTGTGTGCGTGCGTGTGTGTTTGTGCGTGTGTGTGTGTGTGTGTGTGTGTGTGTTTGGGTGTGTGTGTCCCATATGGTGCAGTGGTATGTGCAGCGATTTACAATCGATAGGTTGCGGGTTCGATTCCCGACGATTATGGTCACACATATCTTTCTTCTCTTTCTCAGACTCCTCCTGCCTTTTCTTTCATTCTCCTGTGTGGTTACCAACAGTCAGTGCATGCCGGAGTATGTGGTGTGATGTGTGTGCGTGAAAAAAATGAAAGAAAGAAAAAAGACCAAACATTAGGGATTCACTGGCCAGAAAAAGCCACTTCATAGCTGTGTGGTGTAGACCAGGCTGAATAGTGGCGGTCAATTCTTCAGCCTTGCAAGCTGTTGAATGGTGCAATCCCAGCACAAGCTGCTATGGCTTCTGCTGTAGCATCGCTATCATCGCCTCCGGCGATGGGCATCAAATGGTAAAATGGTGTGTGTGTGTGTGTGTGTGTGTGTGTGTGTGTGTGTGTGTGTATGATTGTATGTTTGTGTACATCACTGTCCATGTGTCTTCTTCGTTTGTGAAAGTGGATGCGTACACTGAGCACTTTCCTCTAGTGGTATCTTATCTGTGCCATTGGGTGTACTAGAATGGAGTCTTCTGATTGTATGAAGTTGCAGCATTTGATAGTGTCGTGATTTCAGTTTTAGCATGCTATTGTGCCGGGTTCTGTCCGTCGAGGTCCGAGCACCCCGTCTCTCCTCTTCTGTTTGAACACTGTGGAGAGCATCTACAGTGGCGGAGGGTGTTCCTAGTGCAGTGTTGATTGTTTGGTAAAGAAACATTTAGCTGCTCTACTTTGCACTGGGTGTTCGGGTGCACCCCTCTGTTGTGACTGTCATAGTATGACATTATTTGGGTGGACCATGTGTTTACCATCATCTTTTTGTGTTAATTTATTGCTTCTGTGAATGTTTTTCCTGTTGTTGTTTACGTGAACTGAATGTGTGTTTTGGTGTTGATTGTATTTTTGTGCAGACAAAACGGTTTCCCTATCCGTGTTCACGTAAACTGCATGTGTGTTAGTGTTGATTGTATTGTGCAGACAAAGACGGTTTCCCTATCCGTGCTCACGTAAACCTGCATGTGTGTGTTAGTGTTGGTTGTATTGTGCAGACTAAGACGTGTTCACATGAACGGTGTGTGTTTGGTGTTGATTGTATTGTGCAGACAAAATCTCGGCGATCAAGCTAGGCCATCCGACCACCATGGCTGGTGTATTTGGCCAGATCATCAAGCAAGAAGGCCCGCGCGGCCTCTACCGCGGACTGGCGCCCAACTTCATGAAGGTGCTGCCCGCGGTCAGCATCAGCTACGCCGTGTACGAGAAGTGCAAGGACCTGCTGGGTGTCAAGTAGCAGTGCACCGGCAGGTGCGCGTGCGCGTGTTTAGGCAGCAGCTCAGGTGCAAGAGTAAGAAACTCTGGCACAGTAGGTACGCCGGCTGTCCTGGCCAAGCCAATAGCGATATCACAATCTAGGTCTTCTTGAAGTACACATTCTTTATTATCTTTTTCAGTCGGACGAGGCTATTGACTAGCCTTGCTCTGAACTGCACTCTAGGTAGGAGAGAATTGGTTTTTTTACCTTCTTTTTTAAGTCTTCATAAATTTTACGGATTGAGTGGAATCAGCTGAACCCACAGAATGATGGGTCAAACCTGATCTTCAGTTATGTTATCCGGCAAACCGATTTTAATAGCCTAATTCCGGCCATGTGTTCTCAGAACCACTCTCGTTTCCCTCCTAGTCACGTACACACTAGAATTATTCACGTACGCAAACACAAGAACACACATCTTCTCGTGGATGTTCAATCTACTTTTCTGCTCATACCCGCACATGCACCCACCCACGCAAACACATGCTTGTTCGCCTGAGCGCAAGCGTGGGTACTAGCAACAGTGCTCTAGCCGAGATACATCAAGTCCACACCGGAGCTCCCCTTAGAGTTCAACGTGTAAATATTTATATATTTTCGTTTTGTTTAGCCCCAATGTCTGTAATACTCGTGCTGTCTGTTATCCCTGGGAATTATATTATCAACTGGACTTTCTGGCATTTATATTTTGATGATCTCAGTTCTCAGTGTAATAAAGCTAGATGATGCAAAAGTGTTATTCTATGTGCAGTTGTAATAACTGCTGATCAGTTCCCCTTGTTTGTCCCACTCAGTGTGCTGTCCAGCGATTACGCACCAAAGGGAGACTAAGCACGCATGAGCAGAATGTTGGCATTGCAACCTCAGTGACCTGGAACCTGGCACTCATAGAATTGAATCAGTGTTGCCTGGCCAGGTGCTCTGGATCGCTGCCAATAGAAACTCCGCGCTGACTGGATACAGGAACAGTGGTGATGCTAGATTCCTTGTCCCAGGTCGACGTGCAATTTAATGGCATGAATCCGAAGAGTAGCGTTGCACTCTACACACCGGAAGGGCATTCCGTCAGCATTTGCCTCGCGTAGAACGCACATGCCCGCACCAGCCAGTTCACCGTTGGTCTTCGCCACCAGCAAGTCCAGAGCGGACGGGCCGTGTCCGCCCAGGACCGGCTGGCTGAGAAGCAGTACGTCCACGTGTGAATCTCGTGCTGGGAGACTATCGAACAGGTGCTTGTGTTCTGCTGTGCCTATTTCACAGTGTGCCTCGACACCGACCAGCTGCATGCGGGGCGATGGTGCTTTTTTGGTGTTTTGTTTCCTGTGCTGGCTTCCAAGCTGGCCAGTGCCTTCTATAACGGCGACTCTCAATCGACTATAAAGCATGGACTTGTCACCGGGAACCCGGGGCCTTTCAAACATCCACTTCTCGGCGTTGGGCACAGGCTTTCCGGTACGATCAATGGTGCACTGTATGAGTGCTTGACCAAAGAGTGTAATGTCGTGCCTTGAAACAGAACTTTGCAGAGACTTGTGCAGGCAGTGAGCTTTCCACAGCGGCTGGCACTCGCACCACTTCAGCAAGCCTGGCACTTGGTAGTAGCTCGCCTCCTCGTGTACTACGAACACGTCCGCCGCATTCGGCTGCTGCTTGTGCCGCAGGTAGTTCAGAATGAAGTGAAAGTGTCGTCCGTCCCGGTCAATGAAGTACCGTCCCTCGGCGTCCTGCGGTACGCTGGCATGACGACCGCTGAACATAGCGCCGAGCATCTCCGATTGGACATCGGTATCGGCGCTGCTGTGTCGCGTCAGCGTCGACCACGTCGTCGTGTACAGCGTGCCGCCTACGTTGAGACCCAGCACACGGGGGAACGCCGCCATGTGACTCTCCACGATGGCCACCGGTTCCTGTGCCTGGTCGGCGGCCATTGAACTGGACCTGTCACATCAAGCTCCCATACCGATCAGAATTGATCCCTGGAGAGAAAACAATACCAGGGAACATTCAGCAGCAATAGTTACTGTTATTAAATTGAAAAGTACACCCGAGAGGTTGACACTCTTTTTTAGTGAACCATCACCATGATCACAGTGCGGATTAAAAAAATACTAGTTCAGAAGCAACTATTAGTACATGGGAGTTACCCCGGCGAGACAATGACTAAAGGATGATGAAAAACCTATGGGGACAATAACAGGTGTGGTCAAGATGCTAACACATTCGAGACGTCAGAAACCAGGAGGATGCATAGAGCAGGAACAGGGAAGTTATTATGCTTGCATGATAAGTAAGGGTGTCATCGATTGGAGAATCTGGATTGAGTGCGAGCAGGTTATGTGGTCCGAGCATCGCTGCACCAATCGAACAAAGCAAGGGTGTAGTACACAAAAGGTACGCATATCGTACAAAGATTCTGCCAAGCTGTCAAAGTCCATTTCCACTCCAGCCACTCCTGGAGTAAGGGCCGGTGTGGTCGGATTGCACTCCAAGTACACGCATTCCGAATCCGGCCAAACGATCATGCTCACTCGGAGCGCACTTGTTTGGGATTTGCCCAATCGATCATGCCCTATTATAAGAAGCACCCTAAATTTGTGGGTTAAAACAATAATTATCGTGTCTGTGCACGAGGGCCGCCAGCACCCTGCAACTCCAGCGGCAGATGCAGTGCCTAACGGTGGGGGTGAGTCTCACACTCACTGGCACAAGTGCTGAGAACCCCACTAGCCGCACCCATGTGCTCCGTGTGCCTGGCCACAAGTTCCCAGTTAACTGTGGGTAGCAGCACGGCTGGATTGTGGGTGAGTGAGGAGCAAACAACCGCCCATGTTCTCGAGCCAATCTCATCAGGCGAGATAGTATGAAACTGTGAGAAGCTGTGGACGGCAAACGTATGCAAACCAGCGTTTGTGATACTCTCATCAAATGAATGGATGTCCATGGTTGGATGAAAATATCACCTGAGACAATACAGTTGAGTGTCAGTTATCCGGCACCCTGAGGACTGGAGCTACATAGCCATCTCCATTCACACAATGAAAAGGACTGTCAACCTTGGTTCTACGTGTATTTTTGATGCTCTATTACTAGTATTACACTGAGATCATAGTAGTCATCCGTGCACACGACTTGTAACAGGTCCGTCACATTGAGGCAACGCAGGTTCATGATGCTCACTCATGATCCGCATTTCAAGACTTGCAGTAAGTTAGTGTAAATATGCAGTGCATGAGCTGTCAGTGCACCCCTGGATAACTGCTGTGCTGGATCACTGAATGTGGGAGAAGTGATATTTCACTCCACTCCCTTTCCTGATAGTGAACATTGAGAATAATACTTTCAAGATCTGACTGCTTGTACCTGCATAGAGGGTACACCTGGATAAGGGAAATCCGGATAAGAGAGGTTCTAACGACTGTACTCTCCAAATGCCATGTACTGTGTGCCTAAATGATCCATCAGTATCCCAGATTGTGTTGTTCGTAGGAAATTCCACATAGGAATGATGTACTATCATGTACATGTAGTACTGAATGAAAATGACCAGAAACGACAGAATGTACTGTATAGTTACTAAATCTGCGGACAGCATGCTGTTTCGTTCTATAAGTACAAATTTTCCTTCACGAAATCTTTCGTTATAATTATTACTCCACCAGCAGGCTTGTTACGTACTAAATTTCGTTTTTGGTCGAGGTCAGTCACCCCGAACGTTCAGACAAAACTTTAGTTTGGTAGGTCTACAAACTTTAGTTATTTCGTGCCCCCTCTAATGGCCTAACGAATATAGCGAAAGGTTAATTCCAAACGAAAATTTGTACTTATAACTGTAATCGTTAGGCTCCAGTCCACATGGTCCAGCTCACCTCGAAAGTTTTTTTCTTCAGAAATCCAGCCCCACGCGCACGGCGAAGCGGAAGGGGCGTGCCGGAGTCACCAATCGACTTCCACAGCTCAGCCGACATCACTAGTGTTCACGCTTGATTGAGACTGCGAGCTGGCGAAGCAAGCAAACGTCGACACCGAGGCCAAGCTTGACGTTGGCGTGCGGATATTTGCAGTGAGACTAAACCTGGATGTTCGTTCATTCATTCATTCCTCCCTCATACTCATAGTCAAAGCCCGCTGCAAAGTATGTAAACGATACCGGACGGCGATTTTACGGCGACCTACGATACCTGCTTGGCGTCCATCGCACAGTACAGTGTAGACCTACAGTTCTTGTCAGCCGGTCCAGCTCCAGATGTTTGGGGGTTGACGGCGAAGAGGATCTCGTGCAGTGCGAGAGCCAAGCTGGCAATGCTTTTGACGATTGACGTGCCGGGAGAAGAGCTTGCGTAGGGCCAACTCGGTGTCGGGCCCGAGGGTATTGCCTGCACGCTACAGCACTAAACAGCTCAACCGAGTAAACAGGAGTGAACAGGTCTACAGAAAAAGCGAAAATCACTGCACTGCGAGCATCGTCACCCGACCTGACTGTGTAGTACCCGGTATTAGTGAAACTCTGTGAGGAAGAGGTTGGTGCGACTTCGGCGATACTTGGGTGTGTTGCTCCCTACATCCAGAGCACACAAGAAGTCCATTGAACCGTCCACTCGGCAAACCTGCAAGAAAGCACCACTCCCTGCTCAATACACAGTGTTTCGGGGAATTCACCCTTCATCAGTTGAGCTTGAGTAGACTGAGGAAGATTGTGCCTGAAAAGCAACACTTATACAGTGGTCCCTCTATAATCCGGCACCATTTGTGCCACGGAAAATCTGCTGGATTAGGGAGGGTGCTGGATTAAATTAACAAATCTGATTGACTGCTGTAATGCACATGAAGAGGACATTTTGGCTACTGAAAATCGTGCTGGTTTATCGAGGGTGCTGGATTAGAGAGGGACGACTGTAGTGCTCTCCAGGCGCGAACATCACCAGGGATACAAACGTACAGAGACGCTCAGTTTCCAGCGCGACAAACACCTCGTGAACACCAGATATCTCGATGGACGTCTCGTACCGTGTGCTCTAGTCTAGATGGCAGTCGTGAGTCGGTCAAGTGAGAATTGAAGTCGGCAGGAAAACCGCGAGCTCCCATGTAGGGAGCAACACACAATTCCCCCAGTATCGCCGAAGTCACACCAACGTACCTCTTCTTCACATTGTTGTTCCCAGCGCGGGCTTGCGAATTAGATGGTCTGGAGGCAACAACGTTGTGAATGGCCAACGGTCCTCAGCGCTTGTTCAGCACCTCCATGAGCAACACTGACTCACGCTGCTATCTGGTGTTCACGAGGTCATGTTTGTCGCGTTTTTCGCAACTTCATCACCTCAGTACAGAGGGCTGCCAGCATGGCAGGAAGCAGCAGTGTGACTTTCTGCGCTCTAACAATAGCGCTACTTTTCACGGTGGTGCCAACAGACTGGACTAGTTTCACACATCGATTGTGCTAGACCAGGTCACATTTGGAGAATTTATGCTAGAACAGTGCTGGTCTTCCCCCCATGGGTCAATATGCTAGTAATTATGCTTAACATTATCCGCTGGTGCCTAACATAGTAACACGGACTGGTCGTTCATAGCAAGAATGACAAGGCTACAGCGAAGCTTCAGAGTTGTCAAAAAGTAGATTAATGGGAGCACGTGCATATTAGCCCTTGGCGGATTATGCAGGCATAATATTTGGCAAAATCTTGGGATTTCGTCAAAAAAATTATGCTCCGACATAATATACGGATTCCAACGTGTAAGGTCGGCATAATCTTTCGGTTTAGACAAAAATTATGCTTAGGGGCATAATACAGCTTTGTCAGAAAGCCTGCAGATGTTTTTTTTAAATACCCCAGTTACGACTCCTTGTCATAGCCCTTGGCGGATTATGCCGGCATAATATTTCGCATAATCTTGGGATTTCGTCAAAAAATTATGCTCCGGCATAATATACGGATTCCAACGTGTAAGGTCGGCATAATCTTTCGGTTTAGACAAAAATTATGCTTAGGGCGTGGCCGTGTGTGTATGCGTGGTTTCTCAATCCTCTATGCACAGCGTGAATACATAGTGGAACCGAGCATAATTCAGCATATTTGTTGGCATAATTGTGGCATAATCAAAAGCATAATTTGACGATTGGCCGAGCATAGTCCGCCAATGGCTGGTGCATATAATACTAAGGGTAGGAGTTGCTGATTAATGATGCATCACTATGGAGTACAAATGGATGCAATCAATGTGCGGTACAATCAAGCACTCCCATACTGACACGATAGTTTGGTGGAGTTGCGTTCCCGAAGCCGGACTATCCGCGATTGAAAATTTCCGCCACCAACCGCATAGAATGTGGAGGCAGCCATAAGAATCTCAGCATCCAGCAGTGCTCTTAAGCCACGATTTGTCATTAGTTCGCGTGACGTATCATCATAGTTGGCAACGAAGTCGTTCAACAAAACTGTGTTGGCGAACGTCTGTTTGAGTCTCGAAAATATATATCGGGCTGTTTGTTCGGGATGCAGCACAATTTGCTTTCTTTTGTTTGACATACTGTCCGACATCAAATCTAAAGCAAGAAGGAGCTTTTCTTCAATCCTGGAATGATTCTTGATAGTCTCAATAGTTTCAGTAAGGCATTTGCCGAAATACGCCAGCACACTTGTGTCAGAGGGTTGCCGACAGTGATATGGAGGTGATTTAGAGGGGTCGCACCAGCGAAAAATGTACTCCATGCGAATATGTACGGCTGTGAAGGCACCCCTTGAGAGGCCAGCCCTGACCAATGCACTGTGGGCTGTGTGCTGGATCGTTTCTGCAGCTCCAAACCAGTCGTGGGCAAATCGAGCAGGAAGTTCTCTTATGTCGTGCCGCCACAACCCGTACCAGTGTGTAATCATCATACATTCGTCTAGGTACATATTGATGTCACTTGCAATATCTGAGGCGTTCCACTGCATACGGAATTGATCCGGAATGGCCGCACACACTACCTTCGGAAATGGGCCGAACTGACGAATCGACTCTGGCATGCACTCCACAATCCATCCACAGTTGGCTACAATGGCGAGCTGAGGTACAACAGAGTTTGGAAGCGTTGTGTGTAATTTACGGAGAAAAGTACGACTTTTCTGTGCCTGTTCAGTCGACTTCGGACAGACTAGTAGATATTCGTGTCGGGCTTTGGGCATTAGATAAAGAAGGTTCCATTTCCCTTTACACATCCGCTCTGCAGCTGTCTGTGGAACCAGTTTTGACTTTTCGTCTTGAAGATGACTCTTCATATTCTGCAGGTTGAAGTAATCCTCCAGTTGCCTTGGTGATGAGTAGTTATGCATGTGGTTTATTGCTCTCCTCTCTCTTGCACCAGCCAATCCAACAAATTGGCTATCCAGCATTGTCGGCTTGACGATATCTCGTTCCCAGGCAGCGCCAGTATGAACCAAGGAGGCAAATTGTCTGCAGCCAGCCACAAGCTGCTCTCGCGAGAAGTACCCAACAGCCAGAAGCCTACGGTTTTGCCTAGCCGGCAGGCCTGGGGTGCTGTCATGTCCAGCACGGGGCGGATGCAGTGTGCTGTTGGCTGCTGTGTTGCGACGGTACGATTCTGATCCCGATCGTGTCGTCGTTCTGAGAGTCTGGATAAGCGCCCGCGGAGCTGGATCAAACTGAACACTGCTCTTTGCTGCCTGTGATCGGGATGCAGCCCGATCACTGTGCACGCCATTATCCGGACGATCCGCGGGCCGTTTAAATGAGCGTCTCCGATCAGTCACACTCAGGCAAAGATAAGCGGCGGAGGCTAATAATAGTGCTGCTGGTACAGACACCGCGATCAGCCTACAGCGAATAGCGGAAAGCATGCTATCCTTGTTGATAACGCTATCCCTGCTCGCTGACATAAGCAAAATGGCAGATGCAAGAGAGCTGAGCGCAGTGGTTTCAGCAATTACGTAGTGCAATCATTGTACCAGATTTGCAGCTCTCACCAGGTCAAGTTCAATGGGAGACTGGCGAGTGGCGGTCGGACAAAATGGAACAACTTTGGGAACGGACCAGACTTCACGCAAGCCACAGCAGTGCTGGGCGCACCCTGTCCCGTAACCAAGTCTTTTGGTGTTATCCGTCTTCTGGTTGTGAAGTCGTCGGATGGTAGCCTGGCGCTCTATGACTGAACACAGCCATCACCACTATCCTGCACCAAATTCGACACTGCCATTCACTCCTACTGCTTCGCAAGTCATGCGCTTCGGGTAGCGAATGGATCTTGTCTCGCTCGCACTGCACGCGCAAGTCAATACCAGAGAGCAGAATCATACACGCCACACCACAGCGCACAGGTGTTTGAGTAACTCAGAAAGAAAAGCGGCATCAACAGTTACTGCACCCCAGAGCTTCTCGCTAAAGAGCACACATCAAGCAAAAAATAGTCACAATGCAAGAAAGAGCAGCGAGAGGGGAAATGCGCCCGCTTTTGTGATGCAAGGAACTGGGTGCTGCCAATGACAATGGGTAGGGCGACATTTGGAAACGAAAAATAGGCATCCTGCTGTGCCCAGACGCATGCGCATACATGGTGCGTGCACACTTGAATCAATGAACACCGTTAGTTGGCTGTGGGAGGTCGTGGATATACGCACTCGCTGATGGAAAACTAAATTTTGGCTCCGGGCGAAACCCGACCAGTGGCAGCTGGTGCAATTGTGCATTGATCTGTCCTGTCCTGTAGACTGTAGTAATCTAGGCCTAGCCACGTTTCAGGTCTGTCCAGGTATGGCCTAATGTCAAGAGCTACAGGCCACAGATCCGTCAGTGTTAACGTTTATTGACGAGTGACATTAATGATTTGACAGCTATTGCTTTTGCGGGCATGCCTGTGCATTTGTTTCTTGTACATGATATCTGCTAGTCGTATGCTAGTCCTCCGGGAGCTAGGCTGCGGCTAGCTAGCAGCAGTATACAGTAATCGTGGTAGAATTTTGTACATCTCTTTGCTCCTTGCGTGTTAGCCACCTGACCAGTCCTGGTGCCACCTTTCGGTATGTGCATTGGAGTTGGCCAATGTAGAAGACGAAATTTGACGTTCGGAAATACAGTACAGTATCAGCGTGGCCATTTACATGTACAGGTACATTGCAGACTGAGCGGAGGACGTTCAGGTAACAGTTGTAACTCTGAGTTTCATGACGCTAGGCAATCATCAGACATAACAACTGTACAGGTACATAAGCCACCAGCACTGCCAGGCTGGTTTTGTCAGACTCTGTTGGTTATTAATGTCGGCAGCTCTGTTTAGCTGTTGTAGTCGGTTGCACTCTACACGAGAGGTCGGGCATTTCCTGCCGTCTTTAGAGGGCACTGTGGCTTGCCGGACTGGAGACTGCCATGCAGAGCACACGCGAAGTCCATTCAACCTTCCACTCTGCAAATCTGGAAAAAAGAGCATCACCATTCCCTTCTCAATACTCATGCAGTGCACACCAGTTGACCTTGAGGAGGCAAATGAAATCTGTGCGCGGGAGAATAACCATGTATGGGGGGCGCCCCAGCATCTCAGGCATCACTAGGGATAACAACTTGCATTACTGAAGATGTGA